ATGCATAGGGTGAGTTCGATTCCAAGCGAGAGTTCGAAAGTGCATCGGTAGACTTTCGTCATACTTGTCACCAAATCTCTCTATCTAAATGCTAATAGGGTTTTAGCTCGGGTCCGAGCTTTTGTAAGTTTTCTTCGATGTGTGCAACAATTCAAGGTAAGATCCAAACCGAGTTCAAAATACAAATAGGAAAATAAATTACAAATATTTAAAATATGTATAAGAAATAAATAGCTCAAAATTAAATGAAAAATAATAAAATAAAATAAATTATTTAAAAAGTAATTGACAAAAATAAATACGGTAGACAAACTTAATAGACTAAACTTATGACCTAACTCTAAATCCCTAATGTAGTCGTCATTCTATTGCTACCGATCGTTGGACGAGACTCTCGAAAAAAATCTAATTTTAGAGAGTTAGATTTTTTTACGGGTTTATTTATAAGTTTAGAGTCGCTACCTAGTATTAAGGAACTAGGAACCTAAAAGTAGCACTAGTTCGGGGATTCTACGGTAAGGAGTTGGTTACACGTTTGGGAAGATATTTAATCACCCAAAAGTGCCCTTTCCGAAGAAAGGTATCATATCTAGTTTAGTCTTAAATTCATCTCCTAAGATATTTTATTTATGCCAAATTATTTTCCGATTTTAAATTCTAATTTTTTTAAGCCTAATTAAGTTTTTTAGTTTTGGGCGTGACATCATATTGAAACGATTATCGGTCATCTTTATTGGGTGACATGTAAGTTTAAAAATTGGATCCGATTTAAACCTCGACACAATTGATGTGTCGGAGAACATCTCGATTATTAAGCGATGATTTTTGATAACGACAGTCCTTATCGGATAGGAGACCTCATTAAGAAATTTTATTATTTTTTGTTTTTGTTTTTGTAAAAGACAATCCTCATCAAATAGGAGACTTCATGAGAATTTTTTTATTAATTTTTTTCAAATGATAGTCCCTATTAAATAGGAGACTTCATTGAGAATTTTTATTTATTTTTTTATTGATAGAGAATCGTCATCGATCCCTAAAAATTAGATTCACCTATCTATTAATTATCTAAACTAATTAAAATATATATATATATATATATATATATATATATATATATATATATATATATATATTTAATTTTAGTTAACTAAAATCAACTAAAATAAATTCTAAGAAATTAAATATAGTGAAATCATCGTTCGTCCTTAATAAATAGCGAGACTCGTTGATCCAATATTCTAATCATATCAAAATCATTTATTAACATAAATTTCATGCCCTAAGTATCTTTAGGTTTTCCAACATGCATAAGACTTAAAATTATTACAAAAAAAAATACATAAAATAGAAAACAAAATAAACCAAATAGTCCAAAATGTACCTATAGTGAAAAATTATACAAAATGCCCATAGAATGCCAAAAGTCAACTCGCTCGTTGATCGTTCATCTTCCGATGGTCCGTCTAACGAGGGGACCACTCCGCATTGTAGATTAGGTCGCTGCGAGTCCAACGGTGGTGGTGACCACTAGAGATGATGTCGGAGGAAGGAGATCGGAGCCTCTAAAGATTCGAATGGATCTCCATTCTTCACTTGTGATGAATCCAACCTCCATTCGGGATTCCAAGCACACTTAGCAACTCTTGAGATTGTGAAGAAGATTTTTTTGCAAGTTGGAACCTCGGATCCGTTCTAGATGGGCCAATTTTTGCTGGTTCTCTTAAACGGGTCTAAAACGGGTCCCATTCAATTAGATCATTTTTTGGTGACGTTAGGTTGTGATTTCGAGGGAACTGCTAGGGAGCGGGATGACCGGATATGTTGAAGTGAAGCTCGGAGATTCAGCCAAAATTAAGCGATATTATCTTGTCTTTACGTAGGTGGGATCGTGATGGTTTAATCTTTGATTTCTCTCTCCTCCGTGATCGTTTCCTCCTCTATCGAATGAAGATCGGCATATCCGATGATGATACATATGGGTGGTGTTGATCGGGGTCAAAACTAATCAAATGATCAATGTTCTCTATCATGATTTGTTTTGGTGATAGCCTATAAAAATAAGGGTTAGAATTAATATCAATTAAAGATAGTTTATGCCTTGATCGGTCAACCCTAATGAAAAGAATCTAGCTTTTCTAAATAGAGTTTAGGCGAAACTTGTCTAACCCTATTGTCTTTTTAAGTTTTTGAACTTTCTAAATTACAAATGAGGAAATCCAACCTCTAATCTTATGCCCTAGTAGGTATGAAAAAGTCATTCTATAATTTCCTACGCATATGTTGAGTTCCATTCCAAACAAGAGTTTGAAAGAGTATTAGTAGACTTGCATCATACTTATCTCCAAATCTCTCTTTCTAAATCCTAAAAGGATTTAGCTCGGGTTCGAGTTTTGGTAAGCTTCCTTTGTGGTGTTTCGATCGTTCAATGTAAATACATCCGACCCAATCCATAAAATGATATATAGAAATTAAAAAGTGAGAAAAATAAATTGCGGAAATTAAATTACTTGAAATAAATTCAAAAATTAAAATACAAGAATTAAATTACATAAAATAAATGACTTAAAATTAATTAAATGAAAAAATAAATGAACTTGAAAAATAAATAACTTGGAAAGAAAATGACAAAAATAAATTAGAAGATAAATTAAAAAAGACTAACCCTATGGACTAATCTAAGTTCCCAATATAGTAGTCATGTTGTCGCTACTTGACATTTAAGGGACTTGTAAAAATTATATTAATTTTTTTTATTTACTGGGAATATGAGTTAAATCAAGTTTTGAAGTCACCAACTAGTATTCAAAAAAGCTAAAAAACCTAAAAATGGCACTAGCTCAAAGATTCTAGGATAACGAGTTGGTTATGCCTTTGAAAAGATATTAATTACCAAGAGGCAACATTTTCGAGGAAAGATACCATGTCTAGTCTAATCTTAAAATTTTATCTCTCAAAATTTCTTCTTTTATGAAAATTATCACAAAGTAAAAATTCAAAGTTTATTCTATAAGTAAAAAAAATAAAAAATTATAGCATCATATTAAATCGGTCGTCGGATCCTATCGTCGGGAATTTTCTCAATTCAACATCGGATCCAATTTAAGTCTTGACATAATCGGTTTATTAGAGAATATCCAAATTACTAAAGTGATGGATTTGAATTAACATCCGTCCCAATTAGAAAGGAGACTTGTTAATTTTCACTTAACATTTCGCTTTTTTCTTTTCTTTTCCTTTTCTTTTTTCTTCTTTTCTTTTAATGTCTTTTTTTTTATCATTTTTATATTTCATTTTTTCATCTTTTATATTTCTTAAATTCGGTGGGCGGTAGTCATCGGCCCTTAAAAATTAGAAGAGTTAAGGATTCGTCCACCCATTAATCACTTAATTTGACTATTGGTTATCCAAGCCATTTTCAATATTAAAATAAAATCTAAAAATTAAATTAATAGTCTTTACACATTTATAGAAGTCTAAAATCTAATCACAAATTTTAGATTTAATTAATATCAAATATTAAACTACAAATGAAATTTAAATACCGAAAGAAGTTAAAAGTTAAGCATTAAACTAAATAAGTTAAAACAAAAGAGTAATAGAGATCAAAAATTCTAAAAAAAAAAAAATCTAGATTAGGCATTAAAAATAACAAGCATGTATGAAAATTCAAATTTTATTTACCGAGGGCAACAACTAAAAATTAAAAGTGAGAAAAAATAGGGTGAGTAACGAGAGATCAACAATTCTTAAAAAAAAAAAAAAAAACAAATCTAGACTAGGCATGAAAAATAACAAGCATGTATGAAAATTTCAAATTTTATTTACCTAGGCCAATAACTAAAAATTAAAAGTGAGAAAAATAGGGTCACTAGGCCTTTGGGCCTAATGGGCTTTCGGCCCTACTAGGCCAATCCCACTAGACAGGCTAGCCCTCTTTTTTCCTCTTTCTCGACTGGGCTAGGCTAAACTTAGCCCAACCTTCTCACACGAGTTGGACTAAGCCTAACCCATAATTCTCTCACACGGTCGGCCATTTGGCCCTTAACTTCTTCCACGACTCGACCTCAAAAGATCAAAATCTACGTTTGACCTTAATCTTTCTTCTTTCTAATTCCTTTTCTTCCTATTCCAAACCCATTACCTAGAAAATCTCTCGATCTCCTCTTTTTCCTCTCAAACCCAAATACCCTAGGCCATTTCTTCTTTCAGTTTTAGTACTCCTTTAGTTTTCAACCCACACCGACCCCTCACCAAAGAGCCTCCCCTTCTCCTCTTCTTCCTTACAAACTAGAAACCCCAGCTTTTTTCTCTCCTCTTGCTCAAACCTTTCTAGATGCGAGTAAATCCCCAACCACAAGCTTTCAATAATCCATCATTCCCTTTCTACTAGACAAAACCATAATAGACGTAAACTAATTAGTCTAGTAAATCAACTCAAGATAAGGTTCCATGATGATAGTAACTCGTCACGAGCATCGATAGGTCTTGAACCAACTTTGAGAGTGAAATTTTAGCAATTTAAAACAAAAAAAAAAGTAACGGGAGACAAGGGCTTACTTAGTTCGTTTGAGAGGTGGTTCATGGAGTTGGGTGACCAAGGATGGTTGTTGGTTCGTTTGATTGAAATGGGTGAATTGTAAGGATGAGTAGCCAATTAAAATTTCTAGTTTAAAGAACTTAGTGGAAACCTTACAAGAACCAATAATCCTTATCTAAAAAAAATTAGTGTTTGTTTGCTCGATTTAGAGGCAAGTGAAACCTTAAAACCATCTCTACCTTTTTCGGTAAGTAAAAAATAATTGGAAATCCTTTCGTACAAAAAAAAATCAATAGAATACCCTAATCTCTCTCTCTCTCTCTCTCTTAAAACCTCATAAAAATCCTCTCTACCTTTTCTTCTCTCCTTTTAAACCCTATTTATACCCAAAAGCCTCCTCACAAAAACAACCAACTAAACATCCATATAGATTTTAGCTCTAGTTTTGTCCCTCTCCGGCTTACTCGGCTTTGGCGTTATATGAACAAAGCCTAAATTTGTGGCTTCTATGTTTTATGTGTGCGGGTTTTGTAGGGGCGAGTGTTACAAGCTTGGCTGGTTTTGTCCCTCTAGCATGTTGTCTTCATTGATAAAGATGAAATGTGTCAAATGATGGTGAGGTACAAGGCAAGTGTGCCATAGAGAGAATAGAAGACAAGCCGTTCTAATTGACTTCGAATTGGTGCTATCATTTGAGTCTTTTATCAATTTAGTCCCTATAGGTTTTATTTTATTTTTTCAATTGTATCATTTAGGCATGCTATTATAGTCGGGGTGCTTTTGATTTTTTCAATTGGATCCCTCTATCTTTCAATTTCGGTTCCGGGATTTTGAATTGTTTCAAATATATTCGTAATTGTTTTCAATTGCGGTTCATTTGCATTCAATTACAGCCATGGATCTAAAAAGAAATAAAACCAAATAAAAGGATAAAATAAAACAAGCTATATGACAATGGAAATAAAGTGGAAGATCGATTAAAAAAAAATTATTTTCCTTTTTTTTTCTTTTTCTTACAAAATAAAATGTAAAATTCTAAAATTAAGCATACAACCTATAGGGATTTTGATTATTATTTCTTACAAAATAATGACGAACAAGAATACTAAAAATTAAATATAACATAAATTTTGGGTTATGACATTTGATATAATTTGAGTTAACTATAAGTGTTTTTATATGAGATTTAGATTCGATTTTGAATAATTTGAGAATGAGATATGATTTAATTTAAAATAGGCATTTGAGTTTAAGAAATATACATTATATCTTGAGCAAATTTAACAATTATTGATTGTTTGTTTATTTTTCTTCCTTGGTTATGTTATGTATTATCTATTCACCGAGTTATTGTTTGCTCACATCCACCATTTCGGTTTTACAAAGTTTGTGAGATTGTGCATTGACCTCTTCAAAACTATATCGAAATCGACACATTGATCATGTTACTCATTATATTGTAATATTTTAAACTTGTATTTTGATATTGTCAAATATTTAAGAGCTATGCGAGTTATATTTGTGAGACTTGTATAAGATTATTAATTATGAATATTATTTCGGATATGTACAAGTATTATGGTATTATAATTGTGATGGAACTAAGAAGTATTGATTAATTAGGTGGTGATATTCTGAATTAAATGGATATTTGGATTACAACTGGTCCAATAATTATGGTTTAGATATTCGAGATTTGCTTAAGTCGAGGTGAATCCCATAGCTTTCTCGATTCTCATGCTAGTCATGGCCTATTTCAAGGCTCGTGACATTATAATAGATTATTTTAGAGTTGGTCTTGTGATTTTATCCCTCTAAGATTTTTCACATAAATTTGGTATTTTTGTAGTTGTACTCTTATGATTGATTTATTTTGTATTCTTATCTATTTTGTGTCTTTAACTTGATTATTTTCTTATGAAATCTTATTTATATAGAGTGGTATTAAATTTTCAATAATTGTATTAGAGTTTTAGTTAGAGTATTTATGTAAATTAGATGAAGAAAAATAATTTAAGAGCCATAAAAAAATTAACGACTTTGAACTATTCGATTTAAAAGCCAACGACAAAAATTTTATTTTATTACTATGATTTATTTGATCCGATTAAATTAGATAATGCCAAACTAGAAGACAAGATGAATGACATTTTGGAAAAAAAAATAAACATAGAAAACCTATTGAAGCTATCGGACAATGGATGAACAATAGTGTGTTTCATAATATATCTAAAGAGACGAGTTGCTCGAAGAACTATGGAAAAGGTTAGAGAGCATATGTGAAAGGTAAAGCTGCATAGAATAAAACCTCTTTGATTATGAAGCTTTTGAATTTCAAATATAGAGATCAAAAGTCTATTATTGAACATTTGAGTTACTTTCAAAAACTCGCTTAATTAGTTGATAAATATGAAAATAGTACTAGATGATAAGTTACAATTACTATTGCTTTTTCTAGGACTTTTTCGGACAATTAGGAGATGTTGGTTGTGACGCTTGATAATTATGTTTTTAAGTTTTTTATGGCCATCCGTAGTTAAAGATAGCTTATTCAATGAATAAACAAGATGTAGTGAATTTATAAGTGATGATACGAAGGATTTTGTCATAAAAAATAGAGAGAGGAGTGAGAATAGATAATTTAAAAGGCATAAATTTAGAGGTCGATCATAATCTAATGGTGATTTTAAATATTATCATTGTAGAAGAGAAGGTCACATTACAAGAAATTACAAAGCATGAAAGAAAACAACAAGAAAAATTGAGGAATCAATAAATAGCTAATGAGAAAACCACTATAGCAGTTGACTTCAAATTAAATGTAACGAAGTTTTTATGTGAAAAGAATGATTGTAATATTGTAAATCTTTATGTCGAATAGATTGTCAACTCAATGGCTATATATCATGCTACTTTTAAGAAAAAAACTCTTTACCGTGTACGAGAGGAAAAGAGTTTGATAATGAAAAGATGAGCAACAATAGTTATACTAGCTTTCTAAGGATTGTCGATGTATATATAAAGACATGAATAGGTTATGCGCTAACTTTGAATGATATGTTACATATACCACATTTATATCTAAATCGATTTCGTTCATACCTTAAATATTATAAAATACTATAATCATTTTAGTATTGGAAGATAGAAACTCACTACGAGATCAATGGTTGTTGCTAGATGTAATATTTATGATAAATAATCAATCACAAAAGTGTAGTTGATCAAGTCTAAGAATAATGCAATTAGATATGGAACTATTATAAAGATATAGCCTAGACAATAGACTCGAGTGTAAGGATTGTCATATAGGGGGGTATTGAATGAAGGACATAGAAATGATATTAGACCAACGAGTTGATAATTATGATAACACAAACACAAAAAGTGTTAAGTGGTGTGCCCAAATATAGAGTATAAAGTAAGTAGGTCTACTTGGTAAGGATTATTTTGTTACCAAGAATTTCATTCATAATAATGTCTTGTTGATGGATGTTATCACCCAAATTTTAATTCTTATTACTTTTACTTGTATTCTTATTTTTATTGCAAAATGCAAAAATGAGAATAAAAAATGCAAAAATGAGCAACAAAAAAGTGAAAAATGGTAAACAAAACAAAATGTCAAAATAAAAAAATAAAAAATCAAAGCAATTGAAATAATTGGGTTAGGAAAGTAGCTAATTAAACAAAACAAAAAGTTTAGAGATGAAAAAAAAATTGAGGGCTCAATTAAAAAATTCAAAGCTTCGATTCCTTTTTTTAAATTAAAGGGGGGCATGATTAGAACAAATTAACAAGAAATGTCCCAATTAATTTAAGGGGCCATCAATATAAAAAAAACAAAGCTAAACTTGAATTGATGAATGAAAGAGAGCCAAGGACCAAATTGAGCTTTATAAAAAAAAAACCCTACATATAAAAAGCTCCCCTGCATTTTTTTATTCTAGATACTTTTCATTCTCATAAAAAAACACACACACATTCAGCCACCTCTCTTCCCTACACCAAGTTCTCGACCAAAACTAGCCTCCCTTGTTCATACCTCACCGCATCACACGGCCAAGCACCATCACACAGCCCCTATACATCCCTCTCCTCCCCATAAACATTGCCTTTAGCCCCCAAGTAGCCCAAGCCACCAAGCGTGACCGAGCGAGCAGCCTCATAGCCTTGGCCACCACGCATGCTCCACCCATCTCCAATGCTCCAACACGACCCAACATTGCACATCCCCTACTCGTTCCAGGTTGCGCACCCACCGACCTTCGCACCACCTTCATTCATGCTCAACCAACCTCGAGTGTGCACCGAGCTTCTCCAATGGCAAGCTCACACACCCGGTAGTTACTAGCCTCCTAAGCTCGTGTGCCTCACTCTTTGTGCCCGTCCCGCGCACACGCGAGCAGCTGACCTAGGCCACTAGACACGTCCAATTACATGCCAATTACTCGTCTAACCCGAGCAACCCTATATGCCGCTCACCTTTCAACTAGTTTGCCAAAGCACGGCCTCCCTCACGGACTAGCTACACATCCACACCGAAGTCGGCAACAATAACCTTTTGCCCCTTTTGGTTCCGTGGCAACCAACTCATCCCCATAAAAGAAAAAAGAAACAAAAAGAAACAAAAGAACAAAAGAACAAAAAAAAGAATACATCTTTTTGCTATTGGTTGGATTGTGTTTGTTTTGATAGGAAAATACAACAACAAAGGCATCTTGAATTTTCAAGAAATTTTATAAAGTTTTAGGAACTCTAAAAATTTTATAACAACTTTTGGAGTATTTACACGAGTAACAGAGTAGTTTTTGGCCATTTTAAAGGGACCCAAGATACATTTTGCCAACGGAAAGTCTCACTCTTCTTTCTCGACTAACTATATAATCAATTTTCATTAGGCTAAAGAGAGTAAAAGTGACCTTATTTTGGACATCCAAATTTCAAAATCATTGCATTCTTTTCTTGAAAAAATGATGGTTAAAAATGATTAGATTTTTTCATTGTGTGAATGAAACTATTGCATTTTATTTAAATATCCATAGTTTAAATGTGGTTAAAACAAACATTGTCAAAATGGATATTAAAGGAAAAATTATATTGTTTTGCTATTTTACTCCTGTATGTCTAGACATGAAGTTTGTGTTATTATTGTGACCGATTGATTAACCATGTTCAATTACACGAATTAAATTATTTCATGTCACTTCAACATTCACTTGTTAATTTTTTTTTTGAAACAAATATTCCTAAAATTGGCCATTGGAACAAATTGTGTTATTTTACTCGTTTTATACCTGTTTGCCTAAATGCAAAGTTTATGCTTTTTCTTGTGGTCAATTGATTAACTATGCCTAATTGCAATGCTGAAATGAAGCTATCGATAACTTCTCACTTATATGATAAAGCTATTGATGGTTTTGAAATAATTTTATCTATTTGTTGTTCTTGATTCCTAATTCTTATTCTTGTTTCTTATTCTTTATTTTTTGTTTTTTATTTTATCAAAATGATGTTGTCGGTAGCTTTCCACTTATGTGATAAAGCCACTTAGTGGTTTCAAAATAATTTTTATTTAATGTCTATTTGTTTGAAACAAAGTCGCTAGTGGCTTTCCACTTATGTGACAAAGTCGTCGGTGGCTTCCAAATAGTTATCTCGCTCCTTGCTTGAGCTAAATAAAGTGGTGGGAACTTTTAAGTTGTATGATGAGGTTATCGTTAGCTTCAAACTCATGACTCAAAGTCGCCGATAGCTTCCCACTTGTGTGAGTGAATTCGTCGGTGACTCATTGCTCATGCCAATAAAAGGTTATTCATCTTTAGAAACTCACTTATTGGTTAATAATAGATTATGTTTATTAATGATTAGCCAAAATTCGAAATTCCCCACCTTTCCCCTATTGGGTAGGGAGTATTGGCCCTAAACCGGCTCGAACTCCCAAACTATCATATTTTACACCCGACCTATTATGTTTTATATTTTACAAAATAAAATCATTTAAATAGGTATAGAAGTATAACATAATAAAAACTAGATTTCTTTATGTTTATAGGCAAACAAGATAGCCTACTTAGGTATGATGGGATGACGAGTGATATTATATCTTTCCTACACCTAACCAACCCCTTACCTAAATATCCTTATAGACTAATATGTTTAGTGTTTTTTATTCTCTTTAATTAGTTAGGTGTTGACTCCTTGTTCCGACCCTCCTCGTGGTGGTCGACGTTGACAAAATTAGCGACTCCACTAGGGATAATACCATGCTAGGTTGAGCTTTAAATGTCCGTGTTTTGAATCTCCGGTTGTTTGTTATGCCCTTATGCCTATTTATTTAAATGAGTGATTACCACTTGTTCGATCATTTGTTTTTTTATTGTGTGGTGAAAATGTATCTATGTTTATGTGTGTTATTTATATTGTTTTTCCATTCGAGCTTTAGTCATTTTAATTTTTTAGTCGGTATTTTATATTTTGAGATTGGATATGGAGTTGTGCCCTCACACACTACACTCGTATAATTTTAAGTGTCATCTACATTTGTCGTAGGATCTAGGGAGGAATTACTAGTTCCTCAATGACTTTCATCCTAGGTAACACTCACGAAACCTCAACTCTTTTGAAAAGTCATCCATCGTTGCGATAGGTAATCGATGGTCTCTATGATTACCACCTTCGTATTTGGTTAGCATTGGTTCTCCTAAGCCAAAAGAGACCCTACTCGAAACTTAGATAGATCCTACCCAACCATGTAATGGCTAGAATTGGATCCTAGAAACTCATGTCCTATATAATTTTATTGGGAAGTTGAATATATTGAAACCTTTATCGAAAATCCGGTCATGAATGCTTCGGGATGGGTGATAAGAGAAATCGAGTCCAAACCCATTTGGTGGCTGAATTCAACAAAAATTCTAAGTTTTTACAATAAACGAAGAAGGATTGCCTAGGGCCCGAATTGCATAGTAACTATAGAGAGATCACACACTTTCGGTTAGTGATCAATTACACTCAAAAGTTGCTTGACTATTGGACGATGTTGAGACACGATGATCGGTATAGGTTTCAAGCTAAATAGGGAAATCTCGGTGTCGCTAAAGGTACCGGTTTAAAAGCTCGCTCTCAAGGTCTTGGCCTACTTATAGGATCCTTCATATAAATGTTTCACTAAAGGAGACCTAGATATGACCCCAACCTTGGAGGAGTACCATCAAATTCTAAACATGCCAAGCACTTTATACCGAGTCTATCTATATTAAAGACGATCGAATATAAAAAAAAAGGTGAAGGAATGGTTAGACATAAGCATGTTTCATGATAAAGCTAAAGGAAATGTCGAAGGTTAGCATTTTGAAAGCTGATTGGATATGTTCAAACAAAAACTAAAGGATCTATGAGATACTTCTAGGAGGATCAAAATTTTAACGTTGATGATCTTTAGGTTAATGTTTTTCCCCTTGTTAGCTAATTTAGTTAGTTTAGATGCGACCAACGTCTTCATCGAGATAGAGAAGCATCTCATAAATCTTACTATTGCTATTCTAGCTTAAACCTTCTCCTTATTAAGTTACTACAAAAGGTTTAGGAAAAGGAGTATGAGATGTTGTGTTCAACTCGCTTTTTATTTGGATAATCAGCAATATCGAAGCCCATAAATCGGCTTTTAAGATAAGTTAGTGGACTAATCAAGAACCATTGAAGGAGTTCTTGATTGACTTATGGAAGAACAATTTGAACAAGAATGGTTTTCATAATTTTTAAGTTTGTCAACTAGAGGTTTTCTATGGAAGATAGTTTAGATTAACAAAATACCATACTTAGCTTACTATGGAGCACGACCATGGGTCCTTTTAATAGGAGCAACTATATACTTGTTATGCTCCTTCCATGGTATCAAGACAATTTTGCTATGAATAGGCTATCCCTAAAACAGTGAGATTAAACAAATTTCAAGGAAAGCTTAAAAATAACGCCACTCCCGAGTTCCTCAAATAGGTTTTGCAAGATTGGTTAACTCCATAAATAATGGGCGAGAGGACTAGTTGATTACAAATTAGTAGTAACAGAGAAATACCCTACATGGCAAGTAAACAAGGTAAAAAACTACAAACATCTCACTAACTTTGACCAATTCATGAGGAATAGATGTCAAAGCCAACCAATCCAAAGGAGTGAATTGATCATATCATGATCATCAAGTGTTATGCCTAGCCGATCTAAAGGAAAAAATAGAAAAATGGAGGATTCCTTATAATTAATTCCTTCGGACCATTATAATCATATTAGAGAAATTAAAAAGCTCAAGATTCGAACTAGAAGTCGATAAGTGATCCGGTCAAAGAAAAAAGAATGATAAAAAAGGATAAAGAAAAGATATTAGATCCGGAGCAAGATTTAGAGACCTAGCAAGATATAGCCGTCGAAGAAGAATACTAGAACTTGATTTACTGCCAAGTTCAAGTAGAACTAGAGGTCAAATTTTTCAATTTGGACAAGTTGCAATCATGGGATAAACGAGTTGAGCATGAGTTAAAAAGTCTAGGGTAAAACATATGGAGGCTTAGAGAAGATAATATGAAATGAAAAAGGTCTCTAAGCGCCGAATACGACGAAACATTGAGATTTAACCGAGCAAATAAATGGATATAAAAGGTCAAATCATAACACTCAAGAAGGAAAATCGATATCTAAAAGGAAAGCTACTTAAGTTATCTTCGTACTCGAGTCACCATACATAACCACTTGGCTCAAGTTGGTACTAAGAGAGGAAAAAACTTGGTTGTGCTAGATAATTAAGTGAAGGAGGTTTCCAAGGAAGTTATAGCACTCGTAAGAGTTAAGCTTGGCCATTAACGAGCTTACGGTGAAAAACTTGGTTGTGACTACTTTATATTTGATTTGAAATGGCTAGAAGAGGAAAGATCTTCGGAGTCTAATCAAACTATCGAGCAATTCACTCTTTTAACTTGTATTTCATCTTTCATTGTATGAGTTTATTTTCATTTTGTTGTGTAAAAGAAAGATGTATCCCGAAGTAATGTAAGCCCTCGTGCTCCTTATTTTGAATACTTGGATAATAAAAGCTTCGGTATCTTTCTTTTATGTTAACTCATTTACAATGAAAAATCTCATCTTCATTGAGTAAATTTGAGATAATTTGATGGTTCCGAATAAGAAGCAATTCCGAGACTAGTGTTGCTAGTATAAAGGCCGATAGAGATGTCCACTTTCACTCTTCAAAACAAAAACGAGCTTTGGCAATCTAAAAGATAAAAAAAGA